TTCGCTTTCCTTCACCTTGGACTCTGGCGCCTCTCGGTGTTTCTTCCGCGACTCTACCACCCTGACGCCGCTTCCTGTTCCTGCTGCCGTTTCTCTTGCTGACCCCTCCGGCGGCCCGGTAGTCGCCCGCAGTTCCACCACCCTTCCCTGTCCGGCGGTTCCTTCGGGCTCTCTTACAGGTCTGCATATCCCCTCGTTCTCCAGGAACCTAGTTGGTGTCGGCTGCCTCCAGGACCTTGGCGTCACCACTACGTTCCCTGGTCACGAGCGGTATGCTGTCTGTACCAAGGCCGCCACTGGTGCCCCCCTGTCCACGTTCCCCCGGGACCCGGTGTCCGGCCTGTTCACTCTGGACACCGTGACCCCCCCGGCTGGGGCGCCCCCGCAGGTGGCTGCGTCTACCCAGGTTGCTGCTGCCTGCTCCTGTCGGTCCCTCACTCACCCGACTCTCCTTTGGCACCACCGCCTAGGTCACCCTACGCTCCCGCGTCTGCGTCACATGTCCCAGCACGGTCTCGTCCTTGGTCTCCCTGGTTCTCTCCCCGCTTTTCCCTCCTCCCCAGCCCCACCTCGCACGCCTTGCGTCGAGGGTCGGCTTCGCCGTGCCCCTCACTCCTCCTCGTTTCCCCCTACCGCCGCGCCGCTGCAGACCCTGCACATGGACGTCTGGGGCCCCGCCCCCGTCCATGGGCCGCGTCGAGAGCACTACTTCCTTGTGCTTGTCGACGACTTCACTCGCTACATCTCGGTATTTCCCCTGGAGCGGAAGGCCGACGTGCCTGCCGCTCTCATCCCCTGGCTTGTCTCTGCCCGTGTCCACCGAGGTCTCCCTGTTTTGCACCTTCACTCCGACCGTGGTGGCGAGTTTGCCTCAGGTGTCCTTGGTCGCTTTTGTCGTGCGGAGGGCATCACCTAGACGTTCACCCTCCCAGACTCCCCACAGCAGAATGGGGTCGCTGAGCGACGCATCGGTTTGGTCATGGAGGTGGCTCGCACCTCCATGATCCATGCCGGTGCACCCCATTTTCTGTGGCCCGTGCCCCCCCCGGCTGGAGCGCCCCCTCAGGTGGCTGTGTCTACCCAGGTTGCTGCTGCCTGCTCCTGTTGCTCCCTCACTCACCCGACCCTCCTGTGGCACCACCGCCTAGGTCACCCTGCGCTCCCGCGTCTGCGTCACATGTCCCAGCACGGTCTTGTCCTTGGTCTCCCAGGTTCACTCCCAGCGTTTCCCTCCTCCCCAGCTCCACCTTGCACGCCTTGTGTCGAGGGTCGGCTTCGCCGTGCCCCTCACTCCTCCTCGTTCCCCCCTACCGCCGCGCCGCTGCAGACCCTGCACCTGGACGTCTGGGGCCCCGCCCCCGTCCCTGGGCCGCGTCGCGAGCGCTACTTCCTTGTGCTTGTCGACGACTTCACTCGTTACACCACAGTCTTTCCCCTGGAGCGCAAGGCCGACGTGCCTGGCGCCCTCATCCCCTGGCTTGTCTCTGCGCGTGTCCACCGCGGTCTCCCTGTCTTGCGTCTTCACTCAGACCGTGGTGGCGAGTTTGCCTCAGGTGTCCTTGGTCGCTTTTGTCGTGCGGAGGGCATCACCCAGACGTTCACCCTACCGGACTCCCCACAGCAGAATGGGGTCGCTGAGCGACGCATCGGCTTGGTCATGGAGGTCGCTCGCACCTCCATGGTCCATGCCGGTGCACCCCATTTTCTGTGGCCGTTCGCTGTGCGCTACGCTTCTCACCAGCTTAACCTGTGGCCGCACCCTCAGCAGCCGCAGGTTTCGCCGACCCGTCTGTGGACTGGGTCTCCTGGTGACGCGTCTGCGTTCCACGTCTGGGGCTGCCTTGCTCACGTCCGTGCCTCCGGCACGGACAAGCTCACTGCCCGCACCCTTCCCTGCGTCTTCCTCGGTTTTCCCCTTGACGCGTCCGACTGGCACTTTTACCACCCGCCGTCTCACCGCTTCTTTCACTCTCGTGACGTCACCTTTGACGAGTCCGTCTCCTACTACCGCCGCTTCCCCCACCGTGGTCCCCCGGTTACCCCCCCCCTGTTCCTGGTCACCCCTTCCCCGGTAGTCTCTGCCCCTCCTCCTCCTCCTCCCCGTCCCGCCCCCTCTGGTGTCTCTCATGTCACCCCCCTTCCGTCCGTGGACCCGGTTGAGGAGTCTTCTGACTCTGGTGGCCCTCCGGTGCAGTCCTCGCCGGCCGCCCCTCCCCAGGTGTCCCCTCCCCAGTCCCCTCCTCCGCCGTCCCTGCCGCCACTGCAACCGTCGCCGTCGCCGCCGCCGCCGCCGCCGCCGCAGTCGCAGCCCCCGTTCGCTGACTCTGGGGGTGCTCGTCCCGGTCGCCCTGAGGGTGGTCCCTCTGGGGGTGCGGGTGTGGAGAGTGCCGGTGGTAGCCGAGGAGCAGCTTGCGGTCCAGGTGTCGCCGTTGTGCCGCCGCAGCAGCAGTCCCCGCCGGTGTCCGCCCTTCGCCTGCTCGGCCTTCCGTCCCCCGACCCTGCGTCGGTTCCTCCCCGACCGTCTCCTCCTCTTCCTGTCTACGGCCCTGTTTTCCCTCCGCCGGACTCGTCCCCGGCCCGTCTCCCCCCTCGTTCCCCTCCTGTGTCCCCTCCCCTGTCTCCTGACCCGACTCCTCCATCGCACGTCTGGTCTCACCGTCCCTCCCGTGCTCGTCCTGCCTCGCCTGTCCTGCGCTCCCACCCTATGTTGCTTCGTTCACACGCGTCTCGTCCTCCCCTTCTGCCGTCGCCTCCTCCGTCCTCCCTTGTTGTTGCGCCCCCCCCGCTGTCCGACTACCTTCGTGCCGCTCGTCCTCTTGTTCCTCGGGTCCTTGCCTCTCTCGTTACCGACCCGTCTGTTCCAGTCTCGTGCCTTGACGCTCTTGTCGCTGCTGTCGCTGACTTCGCCTCTACCCGCCGCCTTGACTACGCCACCGCTCTGGTCTCTGACCCTGCCTGTCCTCCGTCTGTCGGGGGTGCTCCTGCCCTTGGCAGTGACGTCCTGGAGGACCGCCAGTTCGAGCTTGCTTTCCTCTCCGAGGCTGCTCCCCATCTCTGTTCCATGCTGCTAGTCCCTGAGGGTGACCCAGACGCTTTCGACATCCCGACCCCTCGCACTTACGCTGAGGCGACTTCGGGACCCTGGGCCTCGCAGTGGATAGCTGCCATGGAGCAGGAGATGGCATCTTGGAGATTCACCGGCACCTTCGTCGACGCAGTTCCCCCACCTGGGGTGAACGTAGTCGATGGCCGCTGGCTCTTCAAGGTGAAGCGCCCTCCTGGAGAGCCGCCTATCTTCAAGGCGCGCTATGTGGCTAGAGGCTTCAGTCAGCGCGAGGGGGTGGACTTCTTCCAGACTTTCGCTCCGACCCCGAAGATGACTACTCTTCGGGTTCTGTTACACCTAACTGCTTCAGCCTTGGCTCAGGTGCCGTCTCGTGGAGAGCTACTCGCTCCTCGTCTGTTGCACAGTCCAGCTGTGAGGCTGAGATCTACGCCGGTGCCATGGCGGCACAGGAGCTCCGCTGGCTGACCTTCTTGCTCACTGACTTAGGTGAGCGACCTAGCTCTGCCCCGGTCCTGTTCGCTGACAACAGGGCCATGATCCTCCTGTGTCAGGAGCCTCGACTCGAGGGCAGAGCGAAGCACATTCAGCTGCGGTACTTCCTCCTGCGTGAGCTACAGCAGCGACGTCAGGCTCGCGTAGTACACTTGGCCTCAGGTGCCAACACGGCTGATATCTTTACGAAGGCGCTTGCGCCTAAAGATCATCAGCGGCACTGTGTACAGCTTGGTCTAGTTCCTGTAGCCTCTCACTTGCTAGGACCTTGACTTTGTACTGTCCTTTATATGTATACTCAGACTGGACTTGTGTCCTCTCCCAGTGGCTGGACTAGTAGTGCCGCCCTGCTCTTGTGCTTGCCTTGTCTGTACTCCTTCTGACCGGTCGCTCAGACTCTTGTCTCAGAGGTTGGACTAGTAGTGCCGCCCTGAGCTGCTTGTTTAGGGTATTCCCCTATGCAGTCTAGGGGGTGTGTCAAACATGTGTATTTGTCATGTTTGTATAGACTGTATAGAGTCACCTCTTAGAGGATACAAAACTTAGATATATTTGTGTGTACTCTCACTTTACAATCATTCAATTATTCTGATACTGATGTACCATGTTAGAAACCCAGCCACTAACCACTGGGTTAAAAGGGCTTGTTAATAGCGGGTCAGTGCGCCCATAGCCCCCCAGGCTTTGCACATATGGCCCTTCCCTGAGGATCTCAAGGGCAACCCCAGCGGGTCACTCGACATAGGCTACGATGGGTTAGGGCGGAAGCGCGGATGGGTGGGACCTTCCTAGCGTGACACCATTTCAGAGTAGCAAAGTGAACTAAGCAAGGGCATACAGGGTGTTATATGAGTTGTCAGTTGTAATCCCTAAGAGCACGCACCTGTCTAGCCTATAACTAGCATGCGTCCTTTACCATCCTACCTAAGCTAAATACTATTCTGATTCTGGATTAGGTGTTGGTGCTCATCAATAGTGCAGCTGGGGATGTCGGTTGTCAGCGGCCGCCAGTGCCAGTTGCCCGTGCCATGGTCAACAGCCCTGACAAAATGCGGTTCGTTTCAAGGCGGGAGTCATAGGCACTTTCGCTACCCACTGCCCAGTAGTTCCCCCCACAACGAACCGAGCAGCCCCTGGGAATTTGAATTCGCAAGGACAGTCGCGCGTCTGCTCCGCAGTGGTGACATGCGGCTCGACTCCCTGAATTGGTCATGCAGCCTGTTGGTGATGGAAGCCACAGCAGCAAGAGCATCCACGTGGGGGTTCCAACATGCCATTTCAAGCCAAACTGAGAGCTGACGGCCGAGCGGACCATTACCCGCCTCAGACCATGAAGGAGCCCGCCAAGGATTTAGGCATGCTTGGCTGTGCCAGCCAACTTCGCGCTTTTGGAGAGTGTCTTGGGTCCAAGCGAGGTGACGGCAAGTCAGGAAGCTAGTGCGCCGACAGTCAAACACTCCAGCTCGTTCGCATTAGTGCGTGAAAGGTAGCCGTATTGGTGCCTCATGTGTCCACCTCGTTTCCTAGCAGCACATAGTCGCACCAGACTCGAACAATCAAATCGTAGAAACCGGCTATCGCCACTCGCGACAGCTCCTAGGAAGAAATCAACTTACTTTTCTCCCGGACCTTTGTCGCAATGGCGCATAGAATCGATGCCTCCTCCCATAGCTCCCCCGCCCTCCCCTTAGCCTTCCTTCTCCTCCTCGTCCCCTGTCTCGTCGTGAGCGCAAACGAAGCGAGCAGGTTACCTGACGCCCCCTGCGACTCCGACGGCAGTCAGTCCGCGCACTTCTGGTGGCCCTGGAGCACCGGAGCCCGCAAGATCACTGCCAGGCGATTGGTCCAGACACGCTCTGCTGAGGTAACAGCTGCCGCCGGTAGAATGCTTGCGACCAAGAACGATTCGCCATTGCCGAGTAGACTGCCGGCCGTGCCATCGCCCACTCCCACTGCGACGACTTCGGCGAGCTCGCAGAAGAGCACCCAGAAGAGCAAGGCGAAGTCGCCCAAGGGCAGCGTGAGCACGGGCGTCATGCCACCCTCGCCGTCCACCTCGCCGCCACCAAAGAAAAATCCCCCCGGCACTAAGTCCCCTGCTCCTGCCTCTGGCGGAAAGACTCCTGCAACGGGGGGGAAATCCCCGCCGAATAAGAACCCAGCGTCTCCGCCAAAGGGCGGAAACACCCCTGGTGGAAAAACGCCTCCAGGCACAACCAAGCCCCAATCGCCAAAACTTCCTCCAAGCAGCCCTCCCACCCCTAAGTCTCCGCCTTCCCCTCCCAAGAACACCAACACTTCCTCCCAAAAGCCCCCCGCCTCCCCCGCTTCCCCTGCCGCCCCCGCCAAGCCCCCCACGCCCTCCCCGCCGCCCGCGCCAAAGCCGCGGCCGCCGAAGCGGCGCGACGCGAACGAGACGGTGCCGACGGGGCCGAGCAACGCGGTGGGGTCGGCGGACTGCCAGTACCAGGGGGCGAAGGAGCTGGCAGCGTGCGCCGTGGGGTTCGCGCAGACGGCGGGTGTGAGGGGCGGGCAGGCGCTTGACGTGACGCGGTACACGGTGGAGAGCGAGTACGACACGCTGGACGGATCGCGCATGTCGGTGGGGTCGCTGCGGTGGGCCGTGACGTACCTGCGCGACGGGGCGTACATCCGGTTCGCGCGGAGCATGGAGATCGTGCTGCAGGGTAACCTGTTCCTGCGACCGCGCACGACGATCGACGGGCAGGGCTTCCACGTGCGCATCACGAATGGCAGCATCGTGATTCAGAACGTGAACGACGTCATCGTGCACAACATCGAAGGTGAGAGCCGGGGGGCGTGCATCGGTCCTGCATACTACTAGTCTGGCAGTCTGGCCTGCTCAGTTTCCTTCCGCACGCAGAAACAGCCACCCACTCATCCGTCAACCCTCTCGCATCCTTTTCCTCCCCTATCGCTCCCCGTCCTTCTTCCCCCACCTGCTCCTCCCAGTGTCGGGGCAGCCGCGCGGCGATCTGATCCCCATCTACAACAGCTCGCGCGTCTGGGTGGACCACTGCCGCCTCTACGGCGGGCTCACGGGCACGGTTGACGTGGGCAAGGGCAGCACTGACGTCACCATATCCAACAGCTACGTCAGCAGCTATGGTCAGACGATGCAGCTCGGGCTTTCCGACGTGGAGAATGCCGATACCGCGATGCGGGTCACTCTGTATCGGAACTGGTTCAACGCGTCTGGCGCCATGCAGCCGCTGTGCCGTAAGGGATCGTGCCATATCGCGAATAACGTGTACTCGAGCTGGGGGTACTACGCCATAGCGGCGCGGAAAGGCGCCGTGATTCGGTCTGAGAGGAATTTCTTCCGGCCCGACCCGGCGGGCAGGCGGAAGGAAGTGACGCCGTACTGGAAGGGGATGCCTCCGACTGACGGCAACTACGATTCGACGGTCACGATCGTCTCGATCGACGACTTCCTGGCCGGCAACGCGACGTTCTCGGACACGGCGTACCGCGGCCCGAAGCCGGTTTTCACGCCGCCTTACGCGCTGACGTTCCCAAAGAGCACGCGCAACCTGGAGGCGTGGGTGCAGGTCAACGCGGGCCCCAAGTACGACGCGCTTCTAGAGCTCGATCCTCCCAACCCAGACTTCCTCCCCCCCGCGCCCTCACCCCCCCCCGCCCCCGACTCCCCCCCTCTCGCTACTCCTCCGCCTGCCCCCGCCAACGGCACTGAGGGGAATGGTACCGCCGCCCCCCCTGCCCCCGCTCCCTCTCCGCCGCCCCCGCCGCCCGAATCTCCCGACTGCCAGTACGCTCCGGGTGCGAGCCGGGCGGATGAGCTGGCGGCATGCGCCGTTGGGTTTGCTGCCGCGGGGCTGGCGGGCGGAAATGGCAGCGCCGGCAATACGACAGACGGGAGCAGCGCCGCTGGGGGTAACCCTGGCAACGCTGGGCGACCGGTGTACGTGGTTACCCTGGACGAGGACTTCGCAGCGTCCTCGCGACAGGGCTCCCTGCGGTGGGGCATTTCGAACTTCGCCCGCACGGGCGCCGTGTTCCGGTTCGCGCGCGACATGACGATTCAGCTGGCGGCGCCGCTGTACGTGAAGTCGCAGACGACGATCGACGCTCGCGGGAGGAGCGTGAATCTGGTGGGGGACAGCTTGCTGGTGCAGCACGCCAGTGGAGTGATCATCCACAATATCGAGAGTAAGAGGCGCTCGCACACTCCACACTTGTTCGCACACTCCACACTCGCACACTCCACACTCGCACACTCCACACTCGCACACACACTCCACACTCGCACACTCCACACTCGCACACTCCACACTCGCACACTCCACACTCGCACACTCCACACTCGCACACTCCACACTCCACACTCGCACACTCCACACTCGCACACTCCACACTCGCACACTCCACACTCGCACACTCCACACTCACACACTCCACACTCCACACTCGCACACTCGCACACTCCACACCCGCACACTCCACACTCGCTCACACACTCCACATGGCTCTCCTCATCTTCCCCCCCTTCCCCGTTCCGTCGCACCTTACACTTCCTCCTTTCTTGCAACGAACGTGTGCCACCGATGCCTACGGAGGTCCCGCCATTTGCGCCTCTTCATCATGCTCTCTTCTCCTCAACCCCCCACCTCTCTCCCATGGCCGCAGTGTCGGGCAGCGTGCGCAGCCCGGCGCACATAGCGCTGTACAACAGCACAGGCGTGTGGATCGACCACTGCCGCTTCACCAACACATCCACGTCCTCGGGCGCCATAGAGCTGGCGCGCAACAGCACGGGCGTCACCATCTCCAACTGCCACTTCTCCTCCAACCAGCGCGGCTTCACGCTGCACTTGGGCCAGGCCGACGGCGACAACATCAACTCGGGCATGAATGTCACCGTCTACCGCAACTGGTTCGACGGGTCGGCATCGCCCGCGTGGCAGCCCATGTGCCGCCTGGGCCTGTGCCACGTGGCGAACAACCTGTACACGGCATGGACGGCAGACGCCATGGAGGCGCGCGTGGCGGCGCAGGTGCTGCTGGAGCAGAACCAGTTCGTGGCCGGGCCGGCGTCGCGGCAAGTGGTGGGCAACACCACGGCGCCCGTGCCAGGGCTCGTGGCTGCTGTGAACAACACTCTCCTGCAGGGGACCGATGGTGGAGCAGTGGGGTCTGCAACGGCCGCCACATGGGGCCCGGTGTATGTAGCAGTGGAGGGGGGCGCGCAGGTGTTTGTGCCGCCGTATGCCTTGGATCTGGCTCCCCTGGATGCTAACTTCACTGCGTTTGTGAAGGCCAATGCAGGCCCACACGCCAAGTAGGATGGCTGCTGAGAGCAGCATGTCCGCGTGTGGGCTGAGGCCTGCTCTTGCTGCTCCCCTGCTGGGATCGCTGTCGGCCATACAAGGTAGCTTCCAGATAATTGGAAGCTCTCGTACCATGGTACGGTACCGGTAGCTAGGAATGTATGGACCAGAATAGATCACATCCAACGGGCCATGTACCGCTTCTCTGCGTGTGTGAAAGATTCAACTAACCGGTCATGTATTGCTTGCTTGCCATACCACTTGCTTGCTTACCAGTTGTTGTAAGGTGCAGGCTGCCGCCACACGCATGCCCATCAATCCCGTGAGCTCACTCTAGTACACCGAGGCGTGATGCCTGCACAGTGCAGTGCTACTAACGCATTTGCATGAACGGGTAACATCAGTTTACCTACCCATATACCGGTAACAACTTAGGCCTAGAGCTTCATTCATTGTAGTAGACCCAGCTGTAGGGTACATCCCCCTGCTGATGGGTCGCAGTGCAGACGTGCAGAATGACAAGCCTCTCAAGTATTCAAACACATGCAGTATGCATAAATATACTGCACAGGGACGAAGCAGCCTACTCCACAGAGTATCAGGGACAAGTGCCGGCCATCTACACCACCAAGCCCAGCAACACCATCTACCGTACCAGGTGTAAGCTCCGGCTGCCACACCCCTATCTACTTTGTTCCACCAACTGACATGTGAAGTAAGGTCCGGCCAGCCACAGCACTCTGCACTGCAAGTAGTAGTGTCTCCTCTCCTAGCTACCGGTATGCCCGATTAACGGGTTCATTCATGGCTTACGTCTCACGCATCACCTGCCTGCTCCACCAGCACCTGCTGCCCCTCCTGCTGCTTGCGCTGCTGCTTCTGTCGCAGCTTGCGCTTGATGCGCCGCGCCTGCCGCTTCACCATCCACTCCCGGCCCTCCTCCCCGCCCTGCACCTCCCTCCGCATGTCCCGGTACGACTCAAACATGCGGCGCCGTCTCCGTGCTGCGCTGCGGTCCGCACGGTTGGTGCGCACGTACAGCGCGTGTGCTGCCGCCTTGTTGCCCAGCTGCTGCTCCACCTCCGCCGCCACCTGGTGGGGCAAGATGAGCGGCACGGGGAATAAGGGGCCAGTGGATGGGGCGCCACAAGGAATAGCGGGGCCCAGATGGTGAGCCATACCTGCAGTGCACCGAGCCTGCAGCACACCGAACCTGCACCACACCATACCTGCAGCACACCATGCCGGCAGTGTGGCGAACCTGCAGCACACCATACCTGCAGTGCACCGAACCTACACCACACTGTACCTGCAGCACAGCAGCATTGTTTGGCTGCAGCGAGAGGGCTAGTGCGAGCAGTGCACGGGCCTTGAGGAGATTGCCCTGCTGCCGCTCCATCACAGCATAGGCCTGGACGACACACGGAGGGGAGAGGGGCGAGAGGAGGGGTGAGGAGGATGGGAGAGGAGAGGAGGGAGGACAACAATATGAGGCATGGGGATAGCAGAAATGGGGTGGACGGGTGCTGAAGAGAGCAGCACCACCAACTGTGGAGATGCCTATTTTTTAGGCGCCTCAAACATAGACTCCTCAGTCACAGAGAGAGCAGAAATGGGGTGGGCGGGTGCAGCACCACCAACTGTGGAGATGCGTGGAGAGTGACACGAGAATAACAAGTGTGGTAGAGAAGAGGAGGGCAGCCGCAGTGGGCACCAGAGGAGCATGACTGAGAAGTGGAAGGAAGGGGGGTGCATGAGATGGATGAACAGCTGGGGCGGGTGAGAGAGCAGCGCACCTGCAGGGCGGGCACGGAGGAGGGCGCCACCTGCAGGCACCGGTCAAAGAGGGTGCGCGCCTGACACACGTTGCCCGCCCGCTGCTCCATCACCGCCCATGACTGCGCACCAGGGGGGGGGGTGGGGTGGGGGGAGGGGGGGTGGGGGTTCGAGTTGTGGGGATGGGAGCCGGAAGGGGGGGCGGGGGTGTGGGGGGAACAATCACGGCAGGATGTGGGAGGGTGGAGAATGAAGCATGATGAAGCGCAGGAGTCGATATGGGGATAAGAGCAGAGAGGGCATGGATGTGATATGGCGGGTGGTTGGTTATGCCAACAGAGGTGGCGGTCCACAGCAACGCCATGCATCATGCCCCCCCTCGCAGGTGGGGTTGGAAAGGGAGAGAGAAACGGTGTGTGTGAGAGGTAAGGTAAGAGAGATTGGGTCACCTGCAGGGCGTGTGCGCATTCCGGGTCCACGTTGAGGCACCGTGTGAAGAGGTCTCGCGCGCGCTCCACTGACTGCGGCGACCCCAAGCGCGCCTCCTCGCACGCCCACGCCTGGACACGAGCAGCCATTGGGGGGGAGGGGGAGCGTGAGGAGAGGAGCAGCGCGTGGATGACGGGGAGAGAATGCTTGAGGAATACGGGAGGGTGAGAAGCAGGAAAGAGCGTGGAAAGAAGAATATCACCGTGCAAGTCAAGATTCAAGACCAAGACCAAGACGTGGGTGTGATTGGAATTGGAAGCGCGCTTATGAGGAACCCTGTCCTGATCGCACTTGAAGCACGGTGCAGGCAGCATGGGTGGGAACCCGACGCACATGCAGGGTGGGTAGCGAGGAAGGGTGCACGGCGAGAGCAGCGGTGAAGAGGTCCCTCATACGCTCCATGCGCCCCGCCCTTGCCTCCACCACCGCCCATGCCTGCACACACCGCACCACCAACACACGCATTTCACACGGCAGAATGAGGGGGAGATAAGACTAACGGAAAGCGCTGAGAAGCGAAGAAGCATATCCGGAGGTACAATAGGAGCAGCGGGCAATCAGTCTGATAGGCTCATGGGCACAGAAACCGAAGGCCAGTAGAGCCATCAACCAGGTTACAGAGCGCAGGGACGAGAGGGAAGGCGCCGGCAGCACAGCACCTGCCAGCAGGCAGCATCGTTGGGGTCGGTGGCGGCGGCGCGCTTGAAGAAGTGTCGGGCGGCAGAGAGGTTGCCCACGGCACCTTCCAGCAGCGCGCGCGCCTGCAGCACCACGGCGTTGCCTGGCTCCACGCGCTCTGCCCGCTGCAGCAGGTGTCGCGCTGCCGTGAAGTTGCCGACCCGCCGCTCCACCATGGCCCACGCGTGCAGCCCCACCACCACCGCCCCCACCTGCTGCTGCCCCGACCGCCGCTCCGCCTGTGGGGGAGTGGGGGGTGAAAGTTAGAGGGATAGGGAGAGGGAGAAGTGAGTGAGAGAGGGAGCAGGGGGGGAGGGAGAGAGGGAGTGGGGAGGCGGAACAGGATCCGAGCATGGAGACGTGAGAAGGACTCGAGAAACTGAGGAGAGAGACTAGTGCACAGTGCACACTAGGTGGTGGGAGACGCTGCCGCTTGTGAGCTAGTGTGGCATGGCATGCTGCACGCAAGAAGCCCTCTGCTCGCTAGCATTGCTGGGAAGCACTGTGCCATGTGCACGGCATCCAGATGCAAGGCAGTTGAGCATTCACGTGACATGCATGCACAGCCAAGTAGGCCCGGTATGATACTCAACACAGAAGTCTACCGGGGGTATCACTAAGCATAGCAAATACGGCACAGTACCTACCTTCCATGCGACTTGCAGCGAGTGCTCGAAGAGGCGTCGGCTGGCGGCGATGCGGCCGTCCAGCGCCTCCAGCATGCCCCACGCCTGCAGCGCGCGCACGTACTGCCGCCCCAGATGGCCCCGCGCCTCAAACCGCTGCGCACTGCGCTCGTACCACTGCCGCGCCGCCGCAGTGTTGCCTGGCGCACGTGAGGGGGTGGGAGGGAAGAAAGGGGGATGAGAACGAGGATTGGGAGGGGGACACTGCAGACGTGGGCACGAGCCGAGCCTGGCTCGGCTCGGCTCGTCCAGGGGTCGAGCCAAGCAGGCTAGCCGTCGAGCCAGGCTTGACTCAAGTCGAGGCGGATTCCAAAAATACCTGCCGCGACAGCGTTCGCTGTTGAGGGTGACGGGGGGGCCTTAGGATGTGTTGCGCGTTATCTAGCCTCTAGTCCTAGGAAGAAACTGCGCTCTAATGCGCCACATCTGGCTTGGCGCGCGGATTCATCCATCGTATCGCACCAAGCCGTTTTCTTCTGTTAAGGGCTTCCAATTTACGGAAACGCGCAAAGCCGCCATCAACACCCCTGGTCTCAATTTGCGAGCCCCCTGGTTCGGAATCGAGCCAGGGTCGACACGGCTCGCCCCCTCCTCGACGAGGACGGCGTGCTCGACTGAGCCGAGCCGGCTCGGCTCAAGTCGAGCCAGGTTCGGAAAACAAAAAAGGCTTGGCTCGCCAACGACGGCGAGCCGAGCCGAGCCGGATGTGGCTCGGCTTGTGCCCAGGTCTAGCATGGAAAAGGCAAGACAGAGAAGGATGGAGTGTGGGCGTGGTGTGGCAGGGAGGTAGATAGGGTTTGTGCTTGAGGGTGAACTGGGTGACAGAGCAAGCACCCTGTGTAGTGTATCCCCACACAATCCCCCACCCTAAACATGTCATGGTATAGTACTTGTAAGTTTTACAAAGCACAAGGCCCATGGCGGTGACGCGGCAAGCAGCGCAGCGCACCTGCGTGTCTCTCGAGCTGCGCCATGTGCACGAGAACGTTGGCGCTGCCGGGATGGCGGGCCAGCAGCTGCAAAGAGGGCGGAGGGATGGCAGCCATCGCGGGGCAAGGGGGAGGCGTGCAAAAGAAGAGGGGAGACACACAGTGCGTTGGTGATGTGATGCGAGTGGTATGGTACTGGCAGCTCACGCAATTAACAGCTTGTGGTAGCACGGACGGGACAAGACCAGCAGGGGGGGGGGATGGGGGGGCGGAGAGGGTGCAAGAAAAGCGAGGGCAGGTGCAAGAATCGAGGTATCGAGAGAGGGAGATGGTGACGCATGCAGTGGTGTGGGTGTGTGGTTGCAGAGAAAGAGGCAGGGTGTGCCACATGCAAGGGCGGACAGAGTGTGGTTGCGGCATGCATGTGCGTGGCCGCCCACCTCATCCATCATGTTGCGTGCTGCTGTGAGCCCTGTCTCGGACCGGCTCGCCATGTGCCGTCGCACCATCTTCAGCACCCCCTCCACTGCTGCCACCTCCTCCTCCCCCTCCCCCTCCTCCTCCTCCCCGGCCCATCTCTCTCCCTCCTCCTCCCCCTCGCCCTCGCCTGTCTGCTGCGCCTCCCCCCACTGCCACCACGGCCGCACGTCCTTCTGAACCCACCGGGTCACTTGCACGATCCTCACCTGCCCCACCTTCCCCGCCCCCCCGCCCTCCCCCCACGTGCTCTTCAGCACTCCCCCCTGCACTCGCACCCGCCTCCCCTGCAACCTCGCCCTCCCCCTCGCTTGCCCACTCCCCACCCGGCCAACCCCCCCTGCCTGCCCCTGCTGCCGTCCCCTCCCCTGTCCGCTCCCCCCTGCTGCTGCCCCCCCCGTTCCTCCCCCCCTGGGCGCCCTCGTCTGACCACTGTTGGGCGCACGAGGCTCAACCGCACCATATGCGCCTGCTTGCCCGTGCCCCTCCTGCCGTCCCCTCCCCGCTCAACCCCGCCTCCCTCTCCGCCCTCCCCCGCGTCCCCATCCGACCAGGGGGCGTCAGAGGAGTCAAAATAGAGGGAGGTGGGGGAGGCGGGGGAGGTGAGGCGCGAGGGGCTAGGACTACGTGAGGGGACGACCACCTCCCAGTCCGAGTCCACACTGTCGTCCCACGACGCACACTCCTCCTCACCGTTCCGCCCACTACCCTTCTCCACCTCCTGCTCACCACTGCCACGCTCGGCGCCAGTACCCACCGCACTACTGCTGCTGCCGCTGTCGCTGCTGCTGCTGCCTTGACTCCCTCTCTCCTCATCCTTGCCCTCATCGCTCTCCCTGCCCCCTTCCCCATTGACCCGCGAGCCCTTCACACGCGCTGCATGGCTCCCCCAACCATCCCCTCCACCCCCGCCCCCACCCTCCACCACCCCATCATGAGCCTCACTAGTCTCCGTAGCAGCAGCAGCAGCAGCGCCGCCACCACCACCGCCATTGCTGTGGGCATGAGCACCCGCCCTGACCTCGGAGCGCAGGCGGTCAGGACTGCTCTCCGCCCCGGCAGAGTGGCGCAAGGAGGGGGTGAGCGGCTTTGAGAGCAGCGCCTGGGAGAGGTGCTCGTGCTCGTGCTCGTGCTCGTGCTCGTGCTCGTGCGACTGGCGGCCCGCCACTCGCACGCTGTGCAGCGCACGCACCTGGTGGTGGGGTGGCGGATGGGATGGACAGACAGGGCAAGGCAGGGCAGGAGGGGGAGCGGTGCGGTGAGCAAGCTCACACATAGACACGCTGCTGCCACCAGGGCACATTCCGCACGTGTACAAGCGACGCACATGCACGCACGCACGCACGCACACGCACACGCACGTGCGCACCCGTTGACATGCACACAGCTGCCCCCATGATCGGACCTGCCGTCTGAAGGCCGCGAACTCCTTGGCGCAGATGCTGCCGTCCATATTGGCGTCCAGCAGCGACACCAGCTCCTCCGCCGCCTCCCGCCCATCCAACGCTCCCACCGCTCCCACCCCTCCCTCTGCCCGCCCCTCGCCCTCTCCCCCTGGTGCGGTGGTGGCGGTGGCAGTGGGCAGACTCCCCAGGCCCAGGTGGCGCATGAAGTGGCTCATCTCGTCCACGCTGATCACCCCGTCGCCATTCAGATCCAGCATCGCAAAGAAATCGTCCTGCTCCTCCACCTCTTCATCCTCCTCCTCCGCATCCCCTTTCCTGCCCTCCTCTTCCTCATCTCTCTCAACGAAGTCATACAACACCCTACTCTCTTGTCCCTCGTTCTCCTCTTCTCTTTCCCCCCCTCCTTGTCTCCCCTGCAGCCCTCCCAACCGCACCGCACCCCAATCCGTTCCCCCCTCCTCCCTCTCTCCCCCCCTGCTCCAGCCCAGCCCTTCTGCGCCTGCTCCCGCCGACACAGCAACAGCGTCAGACACGTCAGCGGCCACGTCAGCGTCGAGGGCAGCGCTCTGCGCGAGCTGCGCCATGGGGAAGCGCGGGCCCAAGCCTAGGTCCGCCCTGCTGCCCTCTGCTGCCGCTGCCAGCAGCTCCATCACTCCCTTCAGCTGCTGCATCTGGTGGGTGGGAAGAGAAGCGGGATAGGGGGGAGAGAGGGGGGAGAGAGGGGGGAGAGAGGGGGGAGAGAGGGGGGAGAGAGGCGGGAGAGAGGGGGGAGAGAGGGGGGAGAGAGGAAGAGAGAGGGGGGAGAGAGGGGGGAGAGAGGGGGGAGAGAGGCGGGAGAGAGGGGGGAGAGAGGGGGGAGAGAGGGGGGAGAGAGGGGGGAGAGGGGGGAGAGAGGCGGGAGAGAGGGGGGAGAGAGGGGGGAGAGAGAGAGCGATGAGTGGAAGATGAGGGGTTTAAACAGGGTTTAAGACCTGGTTTGAACAGGAGATTGCAGGGAGGGGGCCCGATGGGCTTTAGGAGGTGGAGGAATGAGGAAGGGAGAGGAGGGGGGGAGGAGGAGGGTGATGGGGAGAAGAGCACAAGGGAGGGCAGAGGCACGGCAGTGAGAGAGCATGACTGGCAGCACTGGAAGTACCTGGTCTTGGCTGACTCGGCTGCCGCCCTTGTACAGCCCGTGCGCCGCCCCCCCCCTCACCGCCTCCTCCTCCATGCGCGCCGTGCGGATCTGCACCTCCACCACCCGCTCCTCCGCCTCCCCCTCCCCCTCCCCCGCGCCCGCCCCCCTGAAGGGCAGTTTGAGCGCCATGTGCAGGCTCTGGTAGCCGTTGCCCTTTGGGAGCGCTATGTAGTCCTTCATGCGCCCCGCCTCCTCCCGCCACTCCCGCAGCAGCAGCTCCCGCACCCGGTAACACGCCGCCGCCGCTGCCCTCTCCGCCTCCTCCTCCTCCTCCGCCTCCTCCTCCTCCTCCTCCTCCTCCTCCTCCTCCTCCTCCTCCTCCTCCTCCTCCCCCCCTACCAAATCCCCTTCCTCATTCCCCTCCTCCACACCTCTCCTCTCCCCTCCCTCCTCCCCCTCCCCGCCCTGCCCTCCCGCGCGGCCAGCGCGCGCGCGCGGCTGGAGCACGACTCGGAGGCCGAAGAGGTCGTTGACGCGCGTGCGGGGGCGGCCGTCCCGGAGAACCTTCTTAAGCACGCTCCACATGCTCTTCACGCGCCCGCTCACCGCCCACCCGCCCACCGCCCCCCGCAGCTCCGCGTCCCCCGCCAACACCTCCTCCACGCGCCTTTTCACCTCCCCCACCAGTCGCTCCCCGCCGCCCGGCCACTGCGCCGCCACCCACGCCTGGATGGACACGTAGGAGCGCGGGAACAGGTGCCGCAGCGCCGCGTCCTCCATCTGCCACGTCAGCGCGCCGATGCCGAGCGTGTGTGCGAGTGGGGCCCACACCTGCATGGCCTCGAGGGCCTCCACCTGCTGGCGGGGGGAGGGGGAGGCGGCGGAGGCGGAGGAGGTGGCGGCGGAGGGGGAGGCGGAGGAGGCGGAGTTGGTCGAGGCGGGAGCGGGGGGCTCGGAGAGGTGCTGCATGGCGTCGAGCTTCGCGGCGATCTGCAGCACCACGGCGCGCGGGTCGTGGAACGCCAGCGCGAACTGCCGCGCCGCAGCCGCCGTATCGTCGTCCAGCGCACGCACGCGCTTGGGCAGGCGGTGCAGGCGCGCGCTGTCGTGCAGCAGACGCGCGACGGCGGGGGACACGTGCGCGTGCACGAGCGCGAGGGTGAGGTGGCCGCGCTGCACTGAGTCCGATAGCAGCCCCGCCGCTATCACGTCCGGCTCCATCTGGGGGGGGGGGGGGGGAGGGGAAGGGGGGAGGAGGACATAGGGATGGGGGGGGGAAGAGGGGGGGAGGATTGAGGGGGCTGGGGATGAGGGGGGGAGGGAAGGCGAAGTGGCGCATCTGAGGCCACGGCGCTGGTAGGGGGATGTGGTATGGGGGTGAATGGGGGGGAGAGGAGTAGAGAGAGTGAAGGGGAAAAAGGAACAAGGGAGAGAGAGTGGGAGAGAGATAGACGGGCGAGCACTCACCCGTAGGTCAGCGAGAATGGCGGCTACAGCCACCCCTCGCGTGAACGCATCTCTGCCGTCCCCCGCTACCCCACCTTGCTCCTTCACCACTCGTGCCGACGCACGCCGCCACACTTGCCCACCCTTGCCTCTCCCCTGCTCCTCCTGCTGCTGCTGCGCCATCAGCGCCAGCCTCAGCGCCGCCAATACCGTCTGCACGCTGCCTCCGCCCGCTCCCCCTCCCGCTCCCCCCCCGCCGGACTGCCTCGCGTCACCCGTGTCGTCCGCGGAGGAGGCGGGGGGCGGGGAGCGCGAGGGCGGGAGGCGCGAGGCGATGGCGTCCCATGCGGCGACCATGGCCACCATGCGCTTCGTGCCGCTCGTCTCCGCGCGCGACAGCCGCGACAGCGACAGCAGCGCTGCGGGGAGCGACGGCGCCGCGCTCCGACGTGGCGCGGGGTCCGGTCTGGCCGCCGCGGAGGGCGCGCCGCGGAGGCGAGGGGGCTGGCGGGCGGAAGAAGACGCGCGCACGCTGCCTCGACCCCGCTTGGATGCGGATGTCGTGGAATTGGGCCGGGGGGAGGAGCTCCAGGTGGCGTCCTGCAATTGGAGCCACGGATTCGCAGCGGCAAGGAGTGACAAGCTTTCGGGAAATCGATAGAGACAGACGAGGTCGGAATGGCCCGATGCCCCAGAACTCAGAATCTCACTACGGATTTAAAGCGGGCGGAAATGTTGGTGGGTGGCGAGCAAATACAAGGTAAAGGGGGGTAAACGGGGAAATGGGTGGAGAACTCGGAAAGCATTAATCTGTAAAGGCGCGCGTAGAGCGATCGCTACATCTGCGCCGCGTGTCTACGAGTACGTTACGCGCTCCGCCTTCGCCTAATGCCCGCATACCCGACAGCCACCATAACCCCCTCCGCCGCACTCACCGCTGATCGCGCGTCCATCGCGGAGGGTGCATCTGCTAGAGGCGGTTGCGGGGTCGCTGATCCCAGCAGCTGCCTTGTAACTACGTCGGGCTCCGTATTGCACGCCACCTCCGACGCTGCTGCCACGCGCGCCCTCAACTGCTCCTGCTCGTCGGAAATTCGCCGAATCGCCTCCTCCACCTCGTCACAGGTACGCTCCGCCGCGCGCGCGTCATCGGCAGAGCCATGCGGAAGCGCGGAGGTTCGCGACCAGCATTTGGGGCCCGCCGCTAGCGGCGACGGCGATCTGAGGGTCGCGGGAAACGAGGGGCGCGGCCCTTGAGGGAGGGACCCTGGCAATGCGGAGGAGCGATTAAGCTTTGCGATGGACGCCTTATTGGGATGCGTAGGAGGTGTGGAGAGGAGACAACTAGTGAGAGCATCCATGGGCTAGGGTGAAGCCTGTGCGAGACCAGCTAAGAATTTAGTGTGCTGTGGGTTATGGCTGCGGGGGAGACAGGGTACGGTGAGCGACATAGGCGAGAGGTGGGAGTGAGAGTGATGGCATGGGGTGAGGGGAGGAAACAGAGCACAGATACTGCAATAGACAAAGCGTCTGGTAACCCAGTATACAGCGACGAACAGGAAACGCACTGCCCCATTGCCGACATGTAACGTTACAAATCTCGCAGCTCTTGGGTTCTTCCCCTTCCCCCAAGCCATTTCGAAATCAGCTCAAGGCCTCTCGGCCTGCCACGTCAGCGCTTGTGAACGCGTCCACGTCAGTCTAGGCTCAGGTCAGTCCACCCTCTCCAGCAACATCACGGCGGTTGTGATTAGGGCCAACTTCGATTTCACTCACAACTTACCACAGCGCGCATTCAATGTGGCTCACTTTTGTAATTTACCGTAAAGACATGACGCACTTTATCCACTTTACATGCCGAAGCCTTTTCTGCTTATTATTACTTTACAAACCAAAATGAAACAGAACCTTCGTCCCATTTGTCCCGTGATTCTCATAGAATATGGCGAAGTATATTCGGGCCACTCGGACGAGGCGCGCATGCGGACTGCAGGTTTGACGTGAACAGTACGATGCCACAATCGCGAGACCAACTGCTCAGAAATTCGGGTACAAATGACGGGAGCGGCAGCTTGGTACAATACATGTTGCAGACGAAATCTGAGGGAGATTTCTAGGTTAAATAAAATTCTGATTAAACATTTTCATGGGGAGTATAAATAAGTATGCACCACTTCCAACTCTACCTAGGAAGTAGCATGCATTGTATACAGTTCCGCTTTCCGCAGGGAGCGAACTTGTATTTGGGCACCACTCGCACGAAGAAAAAACTTTTACACTCGCTCAGATTGTTGTGATTGTTTTTGGGGTAGATATAACAAAATTGTGGATTTTGAAAACACTCTCAGGAGTTGTTCTGCGCGCAGGCATTATTTATACGGACTGGATGAAGAACATTTTCAACTCAGCGATCTCGGCCGTAAATCTGGGGGCCGAAGTCATTCCTCGTGGCTGCCCCGTGCGCGAAATGCGCCCTAACTGAATTATTCGGGAAGTTTTCGAGACAAAATGTGACGATGGTTCTGTTTCGTTTTGGAATGTAAAGTTAAAACATACAGAAAATGCTTCGGCATATAAAGTGGATTGAATGTGCCGTATCTTTACGCTAAATTACAAAAGTGAGCCACATTGAATACGCGCTCTGGTACGTTTGAGTGAAATCGAAGTTGGCCCTTGTTATTACGGGCGATTGTTTGTTGCTCTTTGCGGCTCCTGCACCCCAGACATCATAGCCCTCCTGGAAGCCATGGCTGGAAGCCAATTGAAGATGTAACATCTGCAACGGTGTATAAAGGTTCTAACCTACTTGAGCTTTTATTGAAAAGGTTGTTCTCATGGAAAAGATACAATTTACTGAGATTACCATTGATTTTCATCCATATTTTTATTAAAAAAAATATTGGCACTATAAAATCCAACTGGTACATGATATGCTCCTGCATTAGGGAATTTATATGATATGCCATATCAATCGCATGCCTATAATTATTATCGGCAGATAAACACTGCGCCAGCATCTTCAAAGCATGAAATCGCAATTATGAGGTGAATTATGGAAGATCTAACCAAACTTCTATTGATATATATATATATATATTAATAACTTAGATTAGATTCACCCCTTATTCTGAAATCAAGGGTGCACATAGACACTAGAAACAAGCAGGGTGCAAGTAATTGAGACTGGGTGTTACATTGGAGTGCCGGCAAACACCGTGGGCTTCGACTCTGATATCTTGGCTGGGGCAGGAATTTTTTACAGCTGTGGTCCTATCTGTCACGGGCAGCTTCGTAAAGGCCAGGGACTGGTTTGGAGGAGCTGTGGCCACGAATTTGATATCGACTGACAACAGCCACCGATATTCCCCTGCCACCCACGGTCCGCCTGCTCCCAGCCATGCAGCGTGACTTTGTGCCCACACCCTTGATTCTACAGTGGATGGAATCGATTTTGCGGCTGCGATCTATTTGCTGCGATTTTTTTTTGCAAAGCAGCTGAGCTGGATAGAGGAGCAGCAAACAAGAGCGGGATTGCGTGCGACGCGACGGAAAGTTATCATTATAGAAACCGCCAGTCGAGCAGGTGCTCCAATGGTGGGGTGTCTGGTGGTGGCCTGACCTCTGTCCGCTTCGCCAATACTGGACTGTAGTACACCTCGTCCGCGTCCCCCCCAACTCCCCGCCCTCGTCCTCCCTCCGCCTATTACTCCATCCCACCGATCTGGAAACTTTATTCACCCCACAAAACATCTCTCTCCTCTCTTAACTCTCCGCTCCGTCCCTCCCCTCTTCCACGTATGACTTGCCGCCGCCCCTCCCTTGGCCCAACAAACCTGCCCAGCGTGCCTCGCTTGCTGCATGTTGTTTCTGTACAGTCAGAGCTTCCTCCCTCCCTCGCCCCTCCCCTTACCTCCTGTTTTCCCCCAACTCATGGGGGTGGACGACGCTGCTCCCCAGGAGAAATGAGCCAAATGCTGGCAGTGGCCAAAGCTGCCTACATGTGCTGTAAGCGCAGGACCGAAACTGTGCTGTGCTCGCTTTGCTTCTGTGGCAAATCCTCCTCTTCGTGATCTCTCTGCTCCAGTCCCCTCGGTCTTCCATATTACACAGTCCGTTCGTCAGTACAGTACATTGTAGATCATGAACCACGGCTGGGCTTCTGTCGCAGTGCGTTAGTCTCTATGAGCTAAGTCGAGCGTATTCCTCTCACGTAGATACTGTCTCGTACTGATCATCGCATTTCTCCTGTTTCGTCTCCGTTATTATCGCTGCTATTAGCTACTGTAGCAGCTTTGTTTTCGGCTTACAACGAATCGAGATGGCGTCGCGAGATGCTGACGTGGCGTCGTTCGCCGACGACTTCCCGTCGCTCAAGGCCAAATGGGTAGTGATGCAGCGCGCGACCCGCCGGTCGTCCAATCCCTTTGACGACCTCGCCTTCGTGTAAGCCTGCGTCGCCCGCCCGCTGCTCCCCATCCCGTCTACGCCGTTCCGCTTTCTCGCTCTCTCTTTCTCGCCTTCTCTCTCTCGCCCTCTTTCCCGCTCTTTTACCGCCCGCGTGCTCATCTTGAACCTGCTCCTGCCCCCTGTCGTTCCTCTCCACCCTCTCTCCCGTCCTCCCATCGCAGGCCCGACCACGACATTCTCGATGCCGCGTGGCTGCACGCCACCACCGACCCGAACGCACTGCCGCCCGCCAAGCCTCTGCCCGTCTCCGCATCCGACCCCTCCGCGCCGAGGGCCAGCGGCGCGTTGCCGTCCGCGTGCGCGCTTCGCGACGGCGAGCTCGACGACCCCGCCGCCGCCAGCCAGCACGACCTGCTGGCGGCTCTCGACCCCGCGTGCGGCGGCGACGGTGGCGCCGCCGCGGCGCTGTTTCGCGACGAGGACGAAGAGATGGAGTCGTGGCTCCACTACTCCGTCGAGGGCTCCGCCGCCGCCGCCGCCGCTGCTGCCGATATCAAATTGCCGGAAACCGGCGAAGTTGCCGGCAGGCCGTCAGGTTCCGCCCGTGCCCCCGCAGCAGCAGCAGCAGCAGCAGCAGCAGCAGCAGGGGCTGATGTTGGCAGCAACAGCTCTCACGCTGCCGCTGTCGAAGGTCTCGGTTCAGGTCCCTTGTCCTCCCTTCAAGGGCCTCACTCGTCCCCTGCCGGCCGGATGGAGCCCCCCTCCTCCTCTTCCGCCGCCCCCGCCGCCGCCGACTCTCGCTCGCTGCATCACGATGGCGGCGCCGCCAAGGACAGCGGCCGGCACGGAGACGGTGGGGCCGCGGTAGAGACGTCGCCGCAGGCGTGGGTTGGCGGCGGGGTAATGGGAGGTACGGAAGGGGCGAAGGGCAATGGTGGGGGAGTTACAGGAGCAGGCGGGGAGGAAAAAGCGGGGGGAAACAGTGGCATGCCCGCGCCAGTTTCTCCGCAGCTTTTGCCGCCCCCGGCCCCTAAGGGGCCTCCGCAGCAGTCCCCGGGGAAGGCGTCATTGCGCCAGCCCACGCTGCTCCCCGGCCCGCACCAACTTCCGCAGCCCCTTCCGGCTGCTTCCCCTTCCGCCAAATGCCCTTCCCCTCCGCTCAACTTCTCCCATTTCTCCCGCCCAGCCGCGCTGTACAGCCGCCCGCACGCCAAGGGTCTCGTGTCGTCCTTCCGCGGGTCTGCGCCTCCCCGTGCGGGCTCAGTGGCGGGGGACTGCCCTCAGTGGAATGCGCCCGGCTCCATGCTTCCGCCACTCAAGTCCCCGCCTAGCGCCGTTGCGCGGAAGCTCAGTGAAGTCGCGGCTAGTGCGCAAGCAGCGGAAGGGGCGGGGGGGGTAGCAGCGCCGGGCAGCAGGTGGTGCGGGCGGGCAGCCACGGGAAATAGTGAGGGGGGAGGGGGGGTCGGCTCCGCCGGCGGCGGTAGACTTGCGAGGGGTGGTGATGGGGGAAGTTCCCGCGAAGGATTTGCGGTGAGGAAAGGCTTGGGCGGGGTAGCGCATACTGGTTCCGCGGGCATGTGCGCGGGTGCGGGAAACGTCGGAACGGGGGAGCCGATGCGCGTGTCGGTGGCGGGCCAGCGCGTGCCGTATGCGCCGCTGGCGGCGTCGATGGCGGCGAGCGCGGAACGGCAGAGGCAGATGCAGAGCTACTCCGCCACCGCGGGGGGCGCGGGGAAGCGCGCGCTGACGGGTCCGGACGCAGGCATGCGGTGCAGTAGCGCGGACACGGGGGCAGTGGGCGGGAAGGGAAGGGGGGGCATGGCGGGTAGCGTGGGGGCGGGGGAAGCGGACAGGATGTGGCCGCGAACGGCGGAAGGCGGATCGGGGACGCGGAGCGAGGAGGAGAGGGCGGCGAGGGCGGTGCGCGAGATGAAGGAGCGGAGCGCGTGGACGAGCAACACGTGGGGCAGCCGGGAGGAGTCGGGCGCGCGGTACGGAGGCAGGAAGCGGAAGGCGGGCGAGGGGAGCGAATGCGGCAAGTCCGAGGTGCGTCGCATGACCCGCCGCGCCGCGTCGGGCGGGAGGTGGCACGGGATGAGCCGTGCCAGTCCCAACTGCGTGCGACTGCGACTGCGACTGCGACTGCGACTGCGAGTCGCAGAGCGTGCATCGAGGCGGCACCTTCCGCATAGCGCGGCGCTCCACGTGGATGCTGAACTCGTCCGCCCGCACTATGCTATGCTTGCGCTTGCGCTTGCGTGTTGAAGCGTAGTTCATTTCGAAGGATGCTCCCGCGATTCACGCCCTCGTTCCGCCACCTTCCCTCCCCCTCCCCTTCCCCCCTCCCTCTTCCCTGCATCTTCTCTTCCCGCTTTTCCCCCTACCCTCCGCCAGGATGTGCGCGAGTGCTCCGCGGACACGAGGCGCACGGGCGGCGCAGGGGAGGCGGGAAGGCGGTCAGTCGGGGGGCCGAGCCTGTCCGGGCGGGAGGGCAGCGAGGGCAGCGCGGCGAAGCGGGCGCGCGCTGCTCACGTGCACAACCTGTCCGAGCGGGTGAGAGCGGATGCCGGTGGGGTGGGGGCGGGGGGGCGGGGGAGAGGGTGGACTGGACTAGACTACTCTGATACGTATCCCTTGACTAGCGCGCTCACAAGCTGCTGCTGCTGCTGTTCCCCTCTCTCGCTCACAAGCCCTCCATCCCCTCTCCTGCTGGCCCGCTGCCCCCTTGCTGCCCGCCTGCGTGTGTGTGTGTGTGTGTGTGTGTGCCATGAGCAGCGGCGGCGGGACCGCATCAACGAGCGCATGAAGGCGCTGCAGGAGCTCATCCCCAACTCCAACAAGGTGCGCCCCCGCCCCGCACCATTTCCTTCTCTCACGCTCTCTCGCTCTTTCGCTCTCTTGCTCTCTCGCTCTCACTCTCTCGCTCTCTCGCTCTCTCGCTATTTCGCTCTCTCGCCCTCTCGCTCTCTTGCTCACTCTCTCCGCCTTGCACTCTGCTGCTGTTCTGGGTTTCCTCTGCTATCTTCTGGCCCGTTTTGAATCCAGGGACTGACGTCTGCTCTTGCCGTCTTTTGCGTGTCCATGCATGTGCGTGTGCGTATGTGTGTGTGTGCGGGTGGAGTGCAGACGGACAAGGCGTCCGTGTTGGACGAGGCAATAGAGTACCTCAAGATGCTGCAGCTGCAGCTACATGTAATGCAATGCGCTCCCACACTCCCCGCGCCCTAAGCACTACCGTGACCATCACTACATATATCGCGTGCCTGCCATGCATGCACCATGTGCCACGTGTCACGCGTTCGCGACCTGGCCAAATTGCGCTGCCGGACCCCCCATATCATCCACATGCGCACCAGCAGCGCCACTTTGCTGCTCCCTTCCCTTTCTCTTGCGGCTCCACATCCACTTCCTGAGTTCTCCTCCCCTCGCTATTCTCCCCCCTGCGCCCCCCCATGCGCGCCCATCAGGTCATGTCTCTGCGCACTGGCATCAGCATCCCGCCTGCCCTCGCCCCCACTCCTGCTGCGCTCTCCTCCCTCGCCGCCTCTCCCTCCCTCTCCGCCTCCTCCCCCCTCTCCCTCACCGCTGCCGCCGCTCAAATAGGCGCCCCTACAACCCCCCTCTCTTGCGCGCCACCCTCCTCACTGCCCGCCGCTGCCTCACCCTCTGCTGCAGCAGCGCTGCTTGCAAGCCAGGCTGCTGCCGCTACTCTGCCTGCTGAAGCCACTCTGGGCGCAGGGGTGGGCGGCCTGGGCCTTTCTGGTCTGGCCATGGGCATGGGCGTGGGCATGGATATGGGTTTCGGGATGGGGCTGATGAACATGGGGCTGGGGGGGGACGTTGGGGCTGTGTCTGCCCAGCAGCGGCTGCTGATGGAGATGGCATGTGGCGGCGGCATGGGAGAGGCACCTGCCAGCCAGGAGCAGGTGATTCTCCTGCAGCAGAAGCTGCAGCAACTGCAGAGTCTGCAGCAGCAGCAACAGCAGCGGCAGCAGCAGCAGCAAGAGCTGCAAGCGCTCAAGGCGTCAGCAGAGGATGCGTGTGCAGCAGGCATGGGTTCGTCATCAGCAGCAGCAGAAGCACTAGCCGGAACATCCTCTGGCAGTGCGTGCGCAGCGGCCATGCGAGCAGGATCCCGCCGGGCCCAACTTCTGCAGCGGCTGCATGCCATGCAAGCCCTGGCTGCAGCTACAGCAGGCTCGGGCGGGGGCAGCAATGGGGGAGAGGGGGGGGAGAGAGCAGGGGTTCAAGGAGAAGCGATGGCAAACGTGACTCGGCTGGCGCCTGGAGGTGGGGTGAGCGGTGGGGAGATGACAGGCCTCTTAAGCATGTCAGATGCAGAGGGAAGTGGGCAGGATGGGAGAGCGGCAGCAGTAAGTGATGCGGTAGAGGCGTTCTATGTCAGGCAACAGCTGCAGCTGCAGCAGAGGCTGCTACACCTGCAGAAGAAGCAAGAGCTGGAGAACCTGATTCAGAAAGAGCAGCAGCAGCAACAACAGCAGCAACAACAGCAGCAACAGCAGCAGGTGAGAGAATTGAGCTTGCTGTCTCCTTGCTCCTTGTTGCCATGTACCTGTGACTTTCCTGATTGTCCTTCCCATGCACTCAATATTTCAAGTCTCTCTCCCAACGATTCCACTGCAGGCATTCAACATCGAACTCTATCAGGCCATCCTTGCCCAGCAGCAGTGCCAGCAGCGAGTATAACATCCAATGTTACTACATATGTCTGTCTCAAGGCCTGACATGTACCACAGTACATGGCTTTGTGTTGTGTTGTGTGGTGTGGAGTGAGGTGCTGACTTAGGATCCTGTACATTAAGTTATTTCTGCTGTACTAAACACATAACTACTAAATAATGGTACATCGTCCACCCTTTCAGTGTTGTGACTTACAACAAACAAATACAGCACAACGGGCCCATGGTGTCAACTTCAACACATTTTGTTATGTAGAAGTTATAGGCTAGATAGGGTATGTTCTTAGTGGGTACAACCCAAATGCTATATCTCCCATGTTCTCCCTTATCATTCTTTCTAGTCTTAACATGGTATCACGAGTAGGTAGGTCCACACACCCGCTTCCGCCCCGTGCCGCCACCTACCGGACCCTCGCGCCCCTAGCTGGCCCCGCGCGCCCCTACGGCCCCGTCGCGCCCCTAGCAGGCCCCGTCGCGCCCTTACGGCCCCGTCGTGCCCCTACGGCCCCGTCGCGCCCCTAGCAGGCCCCGTTGCGCCCCTACGGCCCTGTCGCGCCCCTGCGGCAACGTCGTGCCCCTACGGCCTCGTCGCGCCCCTAGCAGGCCCCGTCGCGCCCCTACTGCTCCTCGCCCCCCTAGCCGGCCCCGTCGCGCCCCTAGCTAGCCCCGTCGCGCTCCTATGGCCCCGTCGCACCCCTACGGCCCTGTCGCGCCCCTATGGCCCCGTCGCGCCCCTAGCCGGCCCCGTCGCGCCCCTGCCGGCCCCGTCGCGCTCCTACGGCCCTGTCGCGCCCCAAGCCGGCCCCGCGCGCCACTACGGCCCCTCGCACCCCTAGCCGGCCCTGTCGCGCCCCTACCGGCCCCTCGCACCCCTACGGCCCCTCGTGCTCCTACTCCCCCCCCCCCCACCACCCCCGCGTCCCTAGCCGGCCCCACGCGCCCTTGCCGGCCCCGCTCGCCCTAGCCGGCCCCTTGTGCCCTAGCCGGCCCCTTGCGTCCTAGCCGGCCTAGCCGCCGAGCCGCCGTGCTGCCGTGTCCTCGAGCCGCCGAGCCGCCGTGCCGCCGAGCTGCCGTGCTGCTGAGCCGCCGTGTCCCCGAGCCGCCGCGCCGTCGAGCCGCCGAGTTGCCGAGCCGCCGAGCTGCCGAGTCGCTGCGCCGCTGAGCCGCTGTCACACTGTGCGATGGCGGACGCCCTTCTTCGCTTGGACGCTGAGAGGCACGCTATCGACTTCGCCGCCTGGCTCGTCGACCTCCGCCGGCACCTGACAAGTCAGCGCCAGGATGGGCACTCCCTAGCTCTGCATGTTGATGGTTTGCTTCCCCGCCCCCATGCGCCTGATCCCCTCCCTGCTGACCCTACCAGTGCTGAGAGCGAGGCTTTTGCTGCTGCTTCGCTTGCTCGAGCTCTCTGAGATTCTCGCGACGCAGTAGCCCAGCTTGCCATTAGCCATGCCCTTCCCCTGTCTGAGCGTCCGCGCTTTACCGCTGTCGCGAACGCCAAGGACTTCTTGCTGCAGTAGTTGAGCGTTACTCCACACCTACTTCCGCCTCTGCTGGCCGCTTGATCCTACCCATGCTCTTCTCTGATCTTTCTGCTTTCTCCATGGTAGCTGACCTCGCTACTCACCTTCGTGCACTAGAGACCAGCTACCGTTCGCGACGCCGCTCACAAGCTTAACCTTTGGCCTCGCTCTCAGTGGCCACAGGTTTCGCCGACCCTCCTTTGGACCGGGTTCCCTGGTGACGAGTCTGCGTTCCACGTCTGGGGCTGCCTTGCTCACGTTCGTGCCTCCGGCGCGGAAAAGCTCACTGCCCGCACCGTCCCCTGTGTCTTCCTCTGTTTCCCCCTTGACTCATCTGACTGGCACGTCTACCACCCTCCGTCTCACCGCTTCCTTCACTCCCGTGACGTCACTTTCGATGAGTCTGTCTCCCATTTCCACCGCTTTCCTAACCGAGTTCTCCCGGTTTCCCCCCCCCCCCCCTGTTTCTGGTTCCCACTCCCCCAGTCGCCCCTGCTCTCCTCCCTCCCCGTCTTGCTCCATTTGGTGTGTCTCACGTCACTCCTCTCCCGTCGATTGTCCCGGTCGAGGAGTCGGCTGACTCCGGTGGCCCCGCAGCACAGTCTGCGCCGTCTGTCCCTCCCCCGGTGTCTCCTCCTCCCTCAACGCAGTCGCCGCCACAGCCGCAGCCGTCGCCGCAGCCGCCGCTGTCACCGCCGCCGCAGCCGCAACCGCAGCCGTTCGTGGACTCTGGGGGTGCTGGAGTTGGAGAGGGTGCTAGTCCTGGGGCTCCTGTCGTGGCTTGTCCCGGCGGGCTCGGGGGTGGCACCGGCGCTGGAGACGTTTCTGGTTCTAGGGGTGCTGGCGTGGAGTGTACCGGAGGTAGCAGTGTCGCACCCTATGTTGCTTCGTTCCCACGCGTCTCCTCCTCCCCGTTTGCCTTCGCCTCCTCCGTCGTCGCTCACTGTCGCGCCTCCCCCTCTATCTGACTACCTTCGTGCTGCTCCTCCTCTTGTTCCTCGGGTCCTTGCCTCCCTCGTTATCGACCCGTCTGTTCCTGTCTCGAGTCTTGACACTTTTGTAGCTGCTGTCGCTAACTTTGCCTCTACTCACCGCCTTGACTTCGCTACCGCTCTGGTCTCTGACCCTGTCTGTCCTTCGTTCGTCGGGGCTGCTCCTGCCCTCGGCAGTGATGTCTTCGAGGACCGGCAATACGAGCTTGCTTTCCAGTCAGAGGCTGCTCCCCATCTCTGTTCCATGCTGCTAGTCCCTGAGGGTGACCCTGACGCCTTTGACATCCCGACCCCTCGCACCTACGCTGAGGCGACCTCGAGACCCTTGGCCTCTCAGTGGATAGCTGCCATGGAGCAGGAGATGGCATCTTGGAGGGCTACCGGCACCTACATCGACGCATTTCCCCCACCTGGGGTGAACATAGTCGATGCCCGGTTGCTCTTCAAGGTGAAGCGCCCCCTGGAGAGCTGCCTGTGTTGAAGGTGCGCTACGTGGCTAGAGGCTTCAATCAGCGAGAGGGGGTGGATTTCTTTCAGACCTTCGCCCCGACCCCAAAGATGACTACTCTTCGGGCGCTTCTACACATAGCAGCACAGCGTGACTACGAGCTTCACTCTCTCAACTTCTCCACTGCTTTCCTTCAGGGCAGCCTACACGAGCAGGTCTACCTGCCCAGCCCTCAAGGATTCACCGGTACTTTCCCTGCTGGGACCCAGTGGCCCCTCCGGCGCCACGTCTACAGCTTGCGACAGGCGTCCTGTGAGTGGCACGATACGCTGCGTGCCACACTAGCTGACCTGCAGTTCTTTCCGTCCTCTGCTGACCCTTTGCTATTCGTTCGTGCTGGCCAGACTCCGTTCTTCATCTTGGTCTACGTAGACGACCTGGTCTTTGCTACAGCAGACAGAGACGCGATGGCCTCCGTAAAGACTGAGCTGCTGAGGCGACACACCTGCACTGACTTGGGAGAGCTGCGCCGCTACCTTGGCTTGCAGATCTCCAGGGACAGAGTAGCGCGCACCATCACTCTTACACAGTCACACTTGGTGCGCCAGGTCCTTCAGAGGTTCGGTCTTCAGTTCTCCTCCGCACAGCCCACACCTCTGCCGGTAGACCACAGGCTCTCAGCTCCAGTTCCCGAGGAGTCAGTAGAGCCCAGTGGTCCTTATGAAGAGTTGGTGGGTTGCCTCATGTACCTGATGACTTGCACTCGCCCAGATCTCGCATACCCTCTTAGCATCCTGGCCCGCTTTGTGGCCACAGGCAGACACCGACCACAGCACTGGTCGGCCGCTAAGAGGGTTTTGCGTTATCTTGAAAGTACACCTAGCATGGGGCTAGTGCTAGGAGGACGCAGGCCAGTGGTCCTTACTGGGCACACAGACGCTTCTTGGGCAGACGACACTGAGACCCTTCGGTCCTCGCAGGGCTAGTGCTTCAGCCTTGGTTCTGGTGCCATCTCGTGGAGGTCCACTGGCTCCTCGTCTGTTGCCCAGTCTAGCTGCGAGGCTGAGATCTACGCCGGTGCCATGGCGGCACAGGAGCTCCGCTGGCTGACCTTCTTGCTTGCCGACTTAGGTGAGCGGCCTAGCTCTGCCCCGGTTCTGTACACTGACAATAGGGCCATGATCCTCCTGTGTCAGGAGCCTCGACTTGAGGGCAGAGTGAAGCACATCCAGCTGCGGTACTTCCTCCTGCGCGAGCTTCAGCAGCGTCGCCAGGCCCGCGTAGTACACTTGGCCTCCGGTGCCAACACAGCTTATATCTTTACTAAGGCGATTTCGCCTAGAGATCATCAGTGGCACTGCTTGCAGTTAGGTCTAGTTTTTGTTGACTCTCACTTGGTAGGCCCTTGATTGTGTACTCCTTTCTATTTATGCCTTCTAGACTGGCCTTGTGGCTTTTCCTCCAGTGGTTGGACTAGTAGTGCAGCCCTGGTTTGCTCTATCTTGTTTGTACTCTTGCTGACTGGTCTTCGGGCCCCTGCCTCAGAGGCTGGACTAGTAGTGCCACTCTGAGCTGCGTGTTTCTTGCTGAGCACTACCCCTTTCTCAAAACATATCCTAGTGTGCTATTATAGACGGTATAGGTTTGTGCCTTAGAGGGTACAACACTAGCCTATATTCTCTTGTACTCTCACATTCTACAGTGGCGGAAAGTATTGTCCACGTGTTTGTGACTTAGATGAATTTTGCCATTTTAGGGGGTCATGGACATTAAGCCTTAATCTTTTGGTGTGCCTAGTGTATGTAGGTTGGGGTAAGGCTCTACACCCATGCTTTACATCTCATTAAGATAATGATGTTTGCAACAAACAACAGAAAATAACAATCTTGGTACATGTGGACAATTATTGCCAGACGCAAGCAGCAAGTTACATCAACCCCAAGCTAGTACCTAGTCCATCGCCCTTTCGCCTTAATCACTGCCCTCACCCTCCTGGGCATGCTTTCCACCAGGTGGGTGCACACATCCGCCGGGATCTTCTCCCATTCCTCCTGCACACGCTCCCAAAGGTCCACCATACCAGTGGGATGCTTTTCGTGCTTGGCCAGCTGCCTCTTGAGATGAGCCCATAAATGCTCTATTGGGTTGAGGTCGGGTGAGGAAGACGGCCACTCTAGCACCCCAAACTCTTGCTCTTTAAGCCACTCC